AAAAGTGCATATTTGCCTACCAATTTTCTGGTAGCCAAAGAGTAACAGTAAAAATATGTCTGTTATTTGGTGACTAAACTTTCTGTTGTCGGCAATAATAAGTATACAACGACTAAAACAGAATTTCGTAGCCTAATTCTAAACTTACGCCTACTAATAAATTTTTAGTCACCAAAAGGTGGCATATTCAACTACTTAATTTTTTTTGGTCGCCAAAAAGTAATATTTCTCAACTAAAAAAATTTAGTAGCTGCAGCTTAAACAAACACCGACTAATACATTTTTTAGTTGCCAAAAAGTTAACTTTTGGCAACTAAAAGGAATTTAGTTACCAATTTTAGTCGCCAAAAATATAAATTGTTGTAGTGGATTCAGATTTATTTTATACATGAATTCCACAATACACTCTTTGATCTCCACCACACACATGCATTCACGGTAAAAATTTGGACCCATCTTATGGATTTCCAAAATAACAATATATATTTGGTTGAGTTAAAAGTTTATTTTCTTTATTTTTTTTTTTTTTTTTTTTTGGTGTGTGTTTCTTAAGTTAGTTTTATTAACACTATTTTTTTTTTTTGTAAATTTATTTTTTTGCTAATGAATTAACTTTTTAGTTAACTCCCAAAAGGAATAGCTAACTCTCAACGACATTTTGAATTAAAAAAAAAATCTCAACGATATTATAGTAATTTCACATCTATAAAAAATTTAATTATTAATATTTATAAATTTTAGGGTGAAACACCAATAAATTCCAAAATGTAATCTTATGAACTGTTTAGTTCTCTCTTTTTTCTTATGAACCTAAAGGTCTTATTAAAGTGAAAATTACATAAAAGGGAAGTCACTTATATGTTTGGATTTAATTTTTTAGGGACAAAAGTGGGTTTCTCAAAATATAAAACTACACATATAGGCAATCCGCACTATAAGAGTTTTGGATTTTTCCTCATTCTGGAACAAATCTCACATTATGAACAAAAACGTAACACTCTAATGTAACACTACAATAACGTAACACTTCAACGCAACAAACTAAAAAACTCCATGGTATACTTTTCCCAAACGTAATAACGTAACACTAAAAAAAAAAACTCCTTAGTATATTTTTTTCAAACGTAACTCTTTAATGTAATACACACACACACACACACACACAAAAAAAAAAAAAAAACTCTTTAGTATACTTTTTTTAAATGTAACACTCTAATCAATATAATTTCAAGCATAACACTCCAATGTAATACACACACACACACACACACAAAAAAAAACTCTTTAGTATACTTTTTCTAAATGTAACACTCTAATCAATATAATTTCAAACATAACACTCCAATGTAACACACACAAAAATACTAAAACACTCTTCAATATATATATATATATATATATTTTTCAAACATAGCACTCACATATACACATTTGCCCAAAAGTTACTAAGGAACATTTGTACTCTTTTTGGAATAATTTGAAGAATCTCACATCCTTTTTTTTAGTGTTACATTGGAGTATTACATTTAAAACATTTAGAAAAAGTACACTAAATATTTTTTTGTGTGTTACATTAAAGTGTTACACTAGGGAGTTTTGTGAGTGTTACATTAGAGTGTTACACTAAGGATTTTTTTGGAGTATTAAATTAGAGTGTTAAGTTTGGAAAAAGTACACTAATAATTTTTTTTACATGTTACATTAGAGTATTACACTAAGAATTTTTTTTGTGTTATATTAGAATGTTATATTAAGGAGTTTTTATGGAGTGTTATATTGGAGTGTTACGTTTGGGAAAATACGCTAAGGGTTTTGTGTGAGTAATTTTCTGACCACACTACCCGCCTAGTAATCAGCTGGAGAGCACCGGCGGAATAGATGGCTTCAACAAACCTGTAACAGAAAGAAAAGGCTCTGGCGGTGGCTCTTCCACCCGGGGGCACTCCGACGATCAAGTCAGTATATCTCTCAAAGATAATCAAGTGCTAAACTCACAAGCTTGAGTATAAAACTGCGTACCTTAGACCCACGGGGGTGCCTCTCTTTTATAGTTTACTAAATCCAAGTCCCACTAGAAGTCTGACTTCTTATGGACTCCAATTAAATGTCAACTTTGGACTCTTCAAGAGATACAGATAAACTCCCAAAGAGCTTTATCCTTATCTTAGCGAAGTCTTCTCTTTTTCCTAGGACTCTTGCCCCTTATCCATTTATCCGCCTATCTCAGATTCCGATATCTTCGGAGATCACCTCGGCCTTGCCAAAGATAACCTCGACATAACTACCAAGACACGTGGCACCTCGGCTGACACGTCGGCGTCACCATGCCACGTGTTGGTATTCAGAAAATACATCCCCACAACTGCCCCCTAGGTTCTATTACCTCGGTATTCTGAGGTGATGGAACCTATATCTGTATTTTCTTTCAGTACCTCGGCGTGAGAACTTTTTTGGCCGAGATCATTCATTTTAGGCCGACATGCCTTCATCAAAGAACAAGAACTCAAACGAACTCCTCCACGCGCATGAGCTGTCATGCACCTTTTCTCAACCGTTCCCCTCACGTGCTTTATCCTCATTGGCCCGTGTCTGTGACGCACCTGAAAGCTGTATTTCACCCATCTGCGCCGTCTGACATGTGCGTTGCTCCAGGCGTAATAAATGCCCTGCTTTTGCCGTCGTTTCAAGTTTGTTACAAAACTTTTCCCCCTTTCTTTTCGTCTCTTTACTTTTGTTTTCGATTTTCTGGCTTTCTCTCTCTCTTAAACCTTCTCAAATCCGCCATTGCTCTAGCTCCAAGCTCTGCAACCGTCTTCATTCTCCCTTTGAAGCTTTCGTCGTTCCGTCGTGTCTGCAACCATTGCCTTACCTCAGCGACCTTTTATTTCGGCTTCATTTGTTCTGGTAAGCCTCTGTTCCTCTTATCCCCAATTTCTTTTATGTGCTTTTGTTTACTTATTGCCACTATTGCGCTGTTCAAACCTTTGATTTGCTGAACTATTCATCTGGATGCGTCTATTCCATGATTTTACTCATATCCTGAACATTTGCATTGTTTCAACACTTTTCTTGCCACTGTTCTTGACCTTTTACTTCTGTATTCTTCATGTTCTTGATAGCCCATCCTTGTTCTTGTTTTTGAAATTTTTGCCTTTGTTTTCTGTTTTTTTGTGTATTTGCTAGATCTCTGCTTTCTTTCAATCTTTGCCTTCATAGATTTAGGTTTGGGCTTTGTCTTATAAAACCCTCAATTTTTAGGAAAAACTGAAACAATCCTTACCAGCATATACCTAGGGTTTCGCCGAGGTCCGGATAACCCCTTAAGAACACCTTTCTTTCTGAAACCTAGCCCTCTGTCTTTAGGCCGACGTTATGGGTATGTGGAGTCATAGGGTAGATACCCCGACCAAACTCGAGTACTTTAGGCGGGAGTTCTCTATTCCTGTCGATGTCCATCTGAGGCTAGCTGAAGATAATGACTCTATCATGCCCACAGATGATTCAATGCCCTTTCCTATAGTAGCTTTTACTGAGTGCGGACTTCGGCTCCCACTTAACATTCTCTTTCGTGAAATTCTTCACTTTTACAAGTTGAACCTTATGCAACTTGCCATAAACTCTTACCGAGTGATCAATGGCATCATAGCTTTAGCTAGGCAGGAGAATGTTAGGATCACCCTTGCCGATGTACAATATTGTTATACCATGTGCCCCCTTAACCTGAAGGAAAATGGTTACGTCTACTACCTCAAGCTGAGATCTACTGAATTCAAAATTGTAGCCGACCTCTCGGACTCCAACAAGGGAGCCGGGGATGACTTTGTCATTACTTCGGGAAATTGGGAATTTGGTCCAGACGATGTTCACCTCTACCCTCTTCCTCTAACAGTTAAAGAGGGCAAGGGTAAGAGCCTAGCGTCAATACTCAGTTATTTCTTTTCCAAGTCTATAAAACTTTGTCTGTTTCTAATGTCTGTTTGTTTGTCCTGCAGATCTTCATCAGCCACCAAAAAACTTCTGCCAATCCTTCTTCCCAGGAAAAGATTTAAAGAAGCTCCTAGATCTTCCAATCCACAAGCGCAAGGCTCCCCTGTTACTGAATTTTATTCCGACATACAAATCCACACTGCCCGACGTCCCAAAAAAAAAGAAGAAGAGCCTATCTCCTCCCTCTGCTACCACTCTACAAACAGCATCAACATCTCGAAGAAGAAGAGCCTATCTCCTCCCTCTGCTACCAGTCTACAAACAGCATCAACATCTCGGGCTGACCAAGGGTCAACCTCTGATCCAGCCGACCAACCATCAGCTTCAGCCCCATACTTAATCCCAATACCAGAAAGAAAACGTCGGCGACGACTCGTCAAAACTGCTGAGATGGGTCGCCCGAAGCCTGTTGCCCAAGATCTCCTAGCCGACCTTCCCACAGATGTTGACGCTCAACCGGCGCAAACCATGCCCCCACCAAAGCCGAAGAGAATTAAAAAGGCTCAGCCCAAGGCCAAAGCCACTGAGATTGAGGCTGAGGATGCTCTGCCCATCTCACAACTGGCTGAGAGTAAAAAAACTACTTCTACTTCTGCAAAAAGGTCTGCTGAGGCCCAGCCATCAGAATCCACCCAATCAAAGAAGCCGAGGTCATCGTCTACGACGACCTCGGGTTCCAGAATGCCAAAAATCCCTTGGCGACCAGAGATTACTTTGGAAGATAAGCCAGTCCTAGCCAGCGACAGTGCTGATGACATAAACGTCGGCGTGGCCCTAAGTACTGCTCTACTCCTCCCAGGCGATCTTGAGCGAAATGCCAAGATGAGTGAGTATGAGAACTACGCTTTTATGCTGCAACACTCTGTCCAAGTAAGTGTCTTTGTGTTGAAGTCTGTTTTCTCTCTTAATTTGTAAAATTTTGTAACAATTTGTGCCTTGTGTTCTTTCAGGCCATTCAACATGCCCATTCTCTCTCCATGCAAGCTTTTGAAACAAGGGAGAAGTTGGCCGATATGAGGCGTGAGGTTTCTGCCCTGAAAAAAGAAAACAAAACTGTTCTAACAAAGATGAAGAAGCTGGAAGATCAGGCCGAGGCTGCTACTAAGGCCCAACAGATGGCCGAAGAAAAAGCGGAGTCTGCTGAGGCGATCAAAAAAGTTGCCGAGGCCGAGAAGAGAGAAGCCGAGGTTAAAAAGGCCCAGGCTGAGAAGGAGCTCCAGAAGGCTCTGGCCACCAAGGGGGCCGAAATCAAAGAAGCTGATGAGAAGGCTTACGCCGAGGGCATGGCCGACGTTACTGAGGAGTACAAATTTCAAGTCAGGCAGGCATGCAATAGGGGCTTCTCCCTTGGTTGGACGGCCCTTGCCAAAAAGCTTAACATTCCAGACGATTTGCCACTGCCCAATGCCGACGCTATTTCTCTGCCGTTCCCCCCTCCTCCTCCATCAAGTCAAGCTGAAGGAGAGTCTAAATCTGAGTCCGAAGATGCCGATGAGGAAGAGGATGGGGCCTTGGTCAGAAAATCAAAGGATGCTGATGGGGCTAAGTCCCCTCCTCTGAATAAGCAAGTCCTTGACTTGACTCAAGATGAAGAAGGTGATGAGGTTATCCCTGAAGCTGTTCCTGACACTGTTCCAGCCGACATCCCGTCTGAGGTTAAGACTGTTGAACAAACTCTTCAGGAAATTGACGCCGAAATAGCGGCAGAGAAGGAGGCCAAGGTTGTATTAGATCTCCAAATTCAACAATCTGGAGAAGAAGACCCTTAGTTTTATGTTCTTGTAGTTTGTTTTTTCTTTATCTTTTTCTGAACAATGTAAGCTTTTGCATGGCCGACGTGCCTCTCAGTTTTGTAAATGTTAACTCAGCTTTCCTTTTCTTAATGCTTGAATCTTTGTCTTTTCTTTGATTGCTTCTGCGTGGTTTCTATACTTATAATTTACATACTTCTTTCCTTCCTTGTGCAATCTTCTTGGGGTTACATTCCTCAGGTGTAATAACTACAAGCTTTACTTCGGCAAGATACTGATCTGCAAAATTTTTCATAAGTTTCAACAAGTGTAAAACATTATACTTAGCTTTTACCTCAACCTGTAAATTGCTGCAAGTTTCAACAGATGATCACATGTCGGCTTAACATTATCTTGTAAATTGCTACAAATTTCAACAAGTGTTAAGCATCTTCTTTGGTTGGACCAACCTGTAGATTGCTATAAGTGTGCAAACTATAACCTCGGCTTCACTCCGACTTGTAAATTGCTACAAATTCAAATACTTGACCACAACTCCGGTTCTTTCCAACCCAGAACCAGGGGAAGAACTGTTTTGTACTCTGGCAGTTTCAAGACACGCCAGTAAGTGCAGTAGCTAATCGAGAGAAATAAATGGGAGCAAAAGCTGTTTTATTATGTTAGTAAAACCTTGGCGATGCAGAAGCAAGATAATTACTCACTGAGAAAGGTTACATGCTAGCCTTAGTAGTGCTTCAAGAAGTTGACAGACATTACTTTCAGGCGCACAATTGATTTATGGTCTTAACAGGAGCACCCACGTAAGTCCTTGTTGCACACAAGAGATTTAACAGGAAGGATAGCAAGAGGGCAGTTAGCCCTGGGGCCAGTATGACCTGAGAGCTTCAGCGCCCAGAACAGCAATTAAAGGCCAAGTTTTGCCAGACTTCGTGGCAGAATTCACACTGAAAACATCGAACACGGGCTCCGTTGAGCCAGGATGGCATTTTATCCAGCAAGCAAAGAGAATCCCAGCCAATAGGCAAAGATCAAGGGAAGCGAAAACTCAACCCTGCAGCATCTACATCGGCGACTCATTCAGACTATTCGTCGATGGAAGTCGAACCGACAAGGAGCCGGGGCAGAGTACTGCTGATCATCTCCAGACGGAGAAATAATAAGAAACAATCCATCCGTTTGGGGTTCAAGGCCTCAAACAATGAAGCGGAATAACGAAGATTAATGAGCAGGACTAAAACTGGCAGTAGCAGCCTAGATTTACAGACCTGAGGCTAGATATGTATTTCTATATGATTGATTCACACAGCTTGATTCGCGTTAAATCGAATCACTGAGAAGAAGTATTGGAGCCAGAGACACACATTGGATGCTCGCAATGCAGCAGAGGAAGCGTCATCAGATTACACCGTATTCAATGCGATTACTGCGCAATTAGCGAATTGGAAAACATCTCGCTCACGCCGAGCATTGCTGGACCCGGAAGTTAGCAACTTGGAATGATATACTATTAGGCATGTATCTGGGAGGATCGAAACGACCGATACACCCCGATAGGCTAGCCGTCGGCAAAGTTGACTGCGAAATCTAGAGCGCACTCATGAGACTATCGCCGCTACCGGAGAACAGGACAGGAAGCATATGTGTGTGGACATGGGCCAAGCTTGGATGGATGCAATTAGTGCATTCCTGAAAGAAGGAAACGCTACCGAGAAAATGCGAAAGAACACACCATAAGTCAGACTGAAGTCAGCAAGATTCTGTTGACAGAAGATGGACACCTCTACAGAAGGTCTTTCACTGCGACCACTGTTTTAGGTGCGTACACCCTTTGCCAGGTTAAAATTTCCTGTATGAAATTCCATGGAAGGATTTGTGGAAGGCCATTCTTAGGGGCAGATCATTAGCCCCACAGTGGCCCATTACCACAGGGGTATTGGTGGCCCTACATGCAGAAGGATGTTCGAAAGCCTACGTAAAGAAGTGTGAACAACTGCCAAAAGTTTCGCACCTTTGATACATCAGGCCAGCTGCTGACCTAACCCACGTATCCAGCCCGTATTGTCGTTTGCCCATGGGGCATGGATTGGTTGGGAACGTTCCCAGCAACTGGGCAGAAGAAAATACTTGCTGGTGGCAACAGATTACCTTTACAAAGTGGATAGAGCACGAACCTCTTGCCTAAATCTGAGATGTGGACGTCAAGAAAACTTTATATGCGAGAAACATCATCACCAGATTTGGAATTCAAGAGCAATAGTTGCCCTAGCTCGAACGGAACACAGTTTGACACAAACTCATCAAGAATTTTTGCGAAATTCAGGGATCAAGAATTATTTTCAACACCAAGTTTTCCCCAAAAGTAATGGGCAAGCAGAGAGCATCCAACAAAGTAAATTTTAGATGGAATAAAGAAGAGCTGCAGGCAGTAAAACGAAAGTGGGTAGACGGAATTGCCCAACGTACTTTGGGCATATCGGACTACGCCGAGGAGATCAACAGGGAATCCCCCTTTGCCATGGCTTAGGACAGGAAGCAGTTCATCCCATGGAGATCGACATCCCAGGGATTAGAACCCAGGGAGAGAGAAATGGCACCAATGATATAATTCTTAGCCCGAAATCTGGATCTTTTGGAAGAACGAAGAGAGAAAGCTGCAATTCAGCTCGCAGTTATACCAGCAACAGCTTGCTAGAGCTTATAACAAGAAAGTCAATCCAAGAGATTTTTCAAGTCGGCGACCTAGTCCTAAGAAAAGTCATCGGCAACAAGAAAGATCCCAGAGAGGGCAAGCTTTGGCCCAAACTGGGAAGGACCCTACAGAATTACTTCGGTATTAGGCAAATGGAGCTTATCGACTTGAAATAACAAGGGCAAAGCACTACCAAGACCTTAGAATACTTGTAATTTAAAATTCTTCTATCATTAGATGTGCAGTATTTTTGGCCGATGTCATCAATAAAAATCTTTTCCCGTTTCTTTAAAACACATATGATGGATAAGTTTACATATTGGTGTTTTTGGAGACATGAATAATGAGAACCCAAGAAGAACTCAGGTTCACATTGGGGGCGGAGAGAAGACAGAGACACTTAATTCACTTGTTGAAATTTGTATGCAATTTACAAGCTGGAATTAAGCTGATTCCTTATCTTCACTTGTTGAAATTTGTTAGTAATTAACAAGTCGAAGTTAAGCCGAGATTATTCTTAATTCACTTGTTGAAATCTTATTAGCAATTTACAAGTTGGAATATAAGCTGATCCTTATGTTCCTTGTTGAAATTTGTAGCAATTTACAAGTCGAAGTTAGTCGAGATTATTCCTTAATTACTTGTTGAAATTTGTAGCAATTTACAAGTTGGAATTAAGCTGATCTTATCTTCACTTGTTGAAAATTTGTAGCAATTTACAAGTCGAAATTAAGCCGAGATATTCCTTATTCACTTGTTGAAATTTGCAGCAATTTACAAGTTAGAATTAAGCATGGGTTTTGGGGTTTCCTTATCTTCACTTGTTGAAATTTGTAGCAATTTACAAGTCGAAGTTAAGCCGAGATTACTGGTTCTCTTCACTTGTTGA